CCTGGGGGACCTCATTTGCATGCCGGGCCCCTCATTTGCATACCTGAGTCCCCATTCTCTCCCCGGGGTGCCTCATTTGCATGCCGGGGTGCCTCATTTGCATACCTGAGTCCCTGTCCTCTCCGCCGGGGTGCCTCATTTGCATACCTGAGTCCCCGTCCTCTCCCCGGGGTGCCTCATTTGCATGCCGGGGTGCCTCATTTGCATACCTGAACCCTCATTTGCATGCCGCGCAGCAAGCCACGGTGGTGCGGGCGGGGCAGACGCTGCAGGTGAACGCGGCCGAGCTCGTGCGCGGCGACCTGGTGGAGATCAAGGGCGGCGACCGAGTCCCGGCCGACATCCGCGTGCTGGCGGCGCAGGGCTGCAAGGTGGGCACACCTGGGCGCACCTGGGCGCACCTGGGCACACCTGGGGGCACCTGGGCACACCTGGGGGCACCTGAGAGGGATAGGAACACACCTGGGCACACCTGGAGGCACCTGGGAACACACCTGAGCACACCTGGGGGCAGCTGGGGATAGCTGAGAGGGATAGGAACACACCTGGGCACACCTGGGGGCACCTGGGAACACCTGGGGGCACACCTGGGGGCACCTGGGCGCACCTGAGAGGGATAGGAACACACCTGGGCACACCTGGGGGCACACCTGGGGGCACCTGGGCACACCTGGGCACACCTGGGGGCACACCTGGGGGCACCTGGGCACACCTGAGAGGGATACAAACACACCTGGGCACACCTGAGCACACCTGGGCACACCTGGGGGCAGCTGGGCACACACCTGGGGGCACCTGGGCACACCTGAGAGGGATAGGAACACACCTGGGCACACCTGAAAGGGATAGTAACACACCTGGGCACACCTGGGGGTACCTGGGGGCACCTGGGGATAACTGAGAGGGATAGGAACACACCTGGGCTCACCTGGGGGCAACTGGGCACACCTGGGCACACCTGAGAGGGATAGGAACACACCTGGGCACACCTGGGGGCACCTGGACATACCTGGGCACACCTGGGGATACCTGGGGGCACCTGGGAACACACCTGAGGGCACCTGGGCACACCTGGGCACACCTGGGAGCAGCTGGGAGGGATAGAAATACACCTGGGCACACCTGGGAACGCACCTGGGCACACCTGGGGGCACCTGAGAGGGATAAGAGCACACCTGGGCACACCTGGGAGTACCTGGGGGCACCTGGGCACACACCTGAGAGGGATAGGAGCACACCTGGGCACACCTGGGCACACCTGGGCACACCTGGGGGCTGCTGGGGATGCACCTGGGCACTCCTGGGCACACCTGGGCACACCTGGGCACACCTGGGCACACCTGGGCGCTGAGGCGCGGGCGGGGCCCCGCCCAGGTGGACAACTCCTCGCTGACCGGGGAGTCGGAGCCGCAGACGCGCTCACCTGAGTGCACCCACGAGTCGCACCTGGAGACGCGCAACATCGCCTTCTTCTCCACCATGTGCCTGGAAGGTGGGCGCACCTGGGCACACCTGGGGGCACCTGGGCACACCTGGGGGCACCTGGGCGCACCTGGGCACATCTGGGCACACCTGGGGCACCTGGGCACACCTGGGCACACCTGGGGGCACCTGGGCGCACCTGGGGGGGTCTGGGTCCCACCGGGGGCACACCTGGGTCTCACCTGGAGGTCAGGGTCTCACCTGGGTCCCCCCTGGGCACACCTGGGGGGGTCTGAGTCCCACCTGGGCACACCTGGGCACACCTGGTCCCACCTGGGCACACCTGGGCACACCTGGGTCCCACCTGGGCACACCTGGGCACACCTAGGGGGGTCTGAGTCCCACCTCGTCCCACCTGGGCACACCTGGGCACACCTGGGCACACCTGGGCACACCTAGGGGGATCTGGGTCCCACCGGGTCCCACCCGGGTCCCACCTGGTCCCACCTGGGCACACCTGGGCACACCTGGGCACACCTGGGCAGACCTGGTCCCACCCGGGTCCCACCTGGGCACAGCTGGGGGGGTCTGAGTCCCACCTGGTCCCACCCGGGTCCCACCCGGGTCCCACCTGGGCACACCTGGGGGGGGGTCTGAGTCCCACCTGGGCACACCTGGATCTCACCTGGAGGTCAGGGTCACACTTGGGCACACCTGGTCCCACCTGGGTCCCACCTGGTCCCACCTGGTCCCACCCTGGTCCCACCTGGTCCCACCCGGGTCCCACCCGTGTCCCACCTGGTCCCACCCGGGTCCCACCTGGTCCCACCTGGTCCCACCTGGAAGGGTCTGAGTCCCACCCAGGTCCCACCTGGTCCCACCTGGTCCCACCTGGTCCCACCTGGTCCCACCCAGGTCCCACCCGGTCCCCCCCGTGTCCCACCGTGCTCCTCGCCTCACCTCACCTGCGGGCGCAGGTACGGCCACGGGGCTGGTGATCGGCACGGGCGAGCGCACGGTGATCGGGCGCATCGCCAGCCTGGCCTCGGGCGTGGAGAACGAGAAGACGCCGATCGCGGTGGAGATCGAGCACTTCGTGGACATCATCGCCGGCCTGGCCGTCTTCTTCGGCGCCACCTTCTTCGTGGTGGCCATGCTCATCGGCTACCCCCTGCTGCGCGCCATGGTCTTCTTCATGGCCATCGTGGTGGCCTACGTGCCCGAGGGGCTGCTGGCCACCGTCACGGTATGGGCAGGTGGCACCTGGGGACACCTGGGGACACCTGGAGGGGTTGGGGTTTGTGGAGGTGTTGAACATTCGAGGTTTTTATGGGTTCTACCAAAAGTTCTGGGGGTTTGAGGAGCTCTTCATGGCCATCGTGGTGGCCTACGTGCCCGAGGGGCTGCTGGCCACCGTCACGGTACGAGCAGGTGGCACCTGGGGACACCTGGGTGCACCTGGAGGGGTTGGGGTTTGTGGAGGTGTTGAGGAACATTTGCGGTTTTTATGGGTTCTACCAGAAGTTCTGGAGGTTTTGAGGGGTCTTCATGGAGGTCTTGAGGTCCTCGTGGGTTCCATCACAATGTGGCAGGTCAAGGAGACACCTGGAGACACCTGGGTGCACCTGGAGGGGTTGGGGTTTGTGGAGGCGTTGAGGAACGTTTGAGGTTTTTATGGGTTCTACCAGAAGTTCTGGAGGTTTTGAGGGGTCTTCATGGAGGTCTTGAGGTCCTCGTGGGTTCCATCACAATGTGGAAGGTCTGGGAGACAGGTGGGGGCAGGTGGAGACACCTGGAGACACCTGGGCGCACCTGGGGGGTTGGGGTTTGTGGAGGAACGTTTGAGGTTTTTATGGGTTCTACCAAAGGATTTTGAGGTCCTCGTGGGTTCCACCACAATGTGGGAGGTCAAGGAGACAGGTGGGGGTCACCTGGCAGGTGAGGACAGGTGAGGACAGGTTAGAACACCTGAGCACAGGTGACACCATCAGGACTGATGAAGCTCAAGGTGAAAACCCCGACGTCTTTACGGGGTCCCACCACAATGTGGAAGGTCAAGGGGCAGGTGAGGAACACCTGGCAGGTGAGAACAGGTGAGAACACCTGGGCACAGGTGACACCATGAGGATTTTATGAAGCTCAAGGTGAAAACCCCGACGTCTTTATGGGGTCCCACCACAATGTGGGAGGTCAAGGGGCAGGTGAGGGACACCTGGCAGGTGAGAACACCTGGGCACAGGTGACACCATGAGGATTTGATGCAGCTCCAGGTGAAAACCCCGACGTCTTTACGGGGTCCCACCACAACTTGAGTGGGTCAGGGTGGGACAGACGAAGAAACCCCTCACCTGCGGGGGTGCCCCTCACCTGGCCAGGTGTGCCCTCACCTGGCCAGGTGTGCCTG